TGATCTAAAACAGCCATGGGTGTCTGGAGGTGGAGGGGGCATTTAGAGGGAGCGCTTTTATCCCAGATCCCAGGGTCTTTATTATTTTAACATAAAGACACAGATGCAACGCGTTGTAGCAGCCTGCACTATACATGCCAGTTAAACTACATGCCCCATCACCAAGACCTGTCTCTTTCTTCATATGTTTATGAGTTTTACTAGAAATCTGAGAGCCACAAAACGCAGAAGACGTTCATTTAAAAAGCAAAACTTCTAAGCCCACCCTTTTAACCATTCCAATCTCTGCTTAAAAATACCCAACCCACCCCCCACATCCAAAACATACTTTTATGGCCATTCTGACTGGTGTGGTAAGAGGAGAAGATTAAAGACTACAGAGGATTGGTCAGAAGAAGCACTTATTCCAGGAAGTTAGAGAGGGGAGATGTGAGCAAGAAATGCAAGAGAAGTTTCGCATACAATGCCTGGAAATTTTCCAAGGCTGGCTGAAAAGCCACTGTTTCCAAGCTCTTGATGCTGTCACACTGAATTACAGCCTCTTCTTTCTCAGAAGCGTGGTTTATTGAGTTTCTTCCCTTTTCTTTCTCGCTACAGGAAACAAGGTTATATTCCCAGCAATTATGTTACTGAAACAAGTGATTCTCTTGAGATCTTTGAGTGAGTACCCTTGATACTTCAGCAACCTCTAGGCAGACGTTAACAACTAAGTAGAAAACAGGGTCAGTTCCTCATAGATGAAGGGCATTCTGGGAATTCTAGTCTCCAAAATGACCCTCTCCTCAGCCATGAGTCATCTCCTCACTTGCCATCTGGAGCAAAAATCTAGATGGGGAGTGGATTGGTTCACAGGAATTGGGAGTGGTTTAATGAGTGCAGCATGCAAGGTTGTAAAGGTAAAGGTAAAGGTTCCCCTTGACAATTTTTGTCCACTCGTATTCGACTCTAGGGGGCGGTGTTCATCCCCGTTTCCAAGCCATAGAGCCAGTGTTTGTCCGAAGACAATCTTCCATGGTCACATGGCCAGTGCAACTTAGGCACGGAACGCTGTTACCTTCCCACCGAAGTGGTCCCTATTTATCTACTCGCATTTGCATGCTTTCGAACCGCTAGGTTGGCGGGAGCTGGGATAAAGCAACGGGAGCTCACTCCGCTGCGTGGATTTGATCTTATGACTGCTGGTCTTCTGACCCTGCATCACAGAGGCGTCTGCGGTTTAGCCCACAGTGCCACCACGTCCCTGCAAGGTTGTAAAAACTCCCAATAAATGTTTCAGCTTGGATGTAATGGTGGCATAAGGACTGGCTGCCAATCCACCCAGTTCCAATACACTTTCAAATCAGTTTGGCTGCCCCACGTTTAAACAATTAAAACAATTAAGAAAAAAGAGCAAAGTTAAGAACAGAATGTAATATTTATCTGCCAAGATAATTAACAGTTCTTTCTTAACTCACAGGGGAAAAAGTGGGTTTCGTTTGAACTGTTTATATAGCAACCTTTTATTCCCCCTATGTAGTTCACCCTCCTACGTGCTCTCCTGCCTTAGAATTTATCCCCAACATGTTGCGTTTCAGGTGGTACTGGTTGTAAATACTCCCAACAAATGTTTCAGCTTGGATGGTAACGGTGGCATAAGGACTGCGGGAGGCTGCCAATCCACCCGATGCCAATACACTTTCAAATCATTTTGGCTGCCCCAAGTTTAAACAATTAAAACAATTAAGAAAAAAGAGCAAAGTTAAGAACAGAATGTAATATTTATCTGCCAAGATAATTAACAGTTCTTTCTTAACTCACAGGGGAAAAAGTGGGTTTCGTTTGAACTGTTTATATAGCAACCTTTTATTCCCCCTATGTAGTTCACCCTCCTACGTGCTCTCCTGCCTTAGAATTTATCCCCAACATGTTGCGTTTCAGGTGGTACTTGAAAAATATAACCAGAAGGCACGCAGAGGAGCTTCTGAAGAAAGAGGTGAGTTTTCAAATAAAAACACCCATCCTTCCTTCCATAGTGAAGTCATTTTTGAAAAAGGGGTCCTCTCTCAAGTTCCTCCTCATCTTTCCACCCCGTCCTGCCTGTTGCAGAGTTTTGAATTTCTAGTTAAAATATTTTTTGCTATGCACTAGAAGTAAAGAGATCCACAGAGGAGAATAGATACAAAGTTCCTTAGAGAGCCCACCTCTTTCTCATTAATGGGTGCTTAAAGAATACAAGAAAAGAATACAAATTCGTTACTTGTAGCTGCTTGAAATTCCAGGCTGGTCCATGCTGCTTTCTTTACTGCATATATATATTGGCAACAAAATGAACAGATCAACAGCAAACAAACAACTGCTGCCAATATAAAGAGGGGGGAGGGATAGCATTCAACAGAGAGACAGCTCTCTTGGAATTCAAAGCCTGGAAGGAATGCTTGGTTAGTACTGGACAGATAGACAGTCACCCCAGACCAGAAAAGTCCCACCCATTTACTCTAACCATGGACAGCTTGTGAAGTGGCAAATAAAACTCCCAACACTGTCTACACTCCATGGAAAGCTGCTCCAGATGATGAACTGAGCATCCAACTCATGGACAGAGGGAATGAGAAAATACACGTGCAGAGGCTTCTAACGGCTTACTCTACTTATGTTACACGCCGTTGTTTTCTAGATATTAGCTGAAACCCAATAGCGAGTTGCAACTAGAGTAGGCCCATTGAATCAGGGGGGATTTGGTGAGTCCACACCTATGTGATTTCTTTTGAATCAATGGGCCTACTCTAGTTGCAACCAACTCCTGGATTTCAGCCACTGTTTTCATAAATAACTAACAATATTACGCTGCCCAAAATTCATGACTCTCCAAAATCTGTTGCTTAGGGCAGTTGCCCCAGTTCCCCTAATGACCATGCCGGCCCCGTGTGCTGGCCATGGCTTCTGCAGAGGTAGGGACATGATCAGAGCTTTTTCGGTTGAGTCAGCACTAGGTATGCTGCGTTTCATCCTGGTTTCATGTCTTTGCAGCCACAGGGGTTACGGTAGATCCAAAGACTGCTCTGTACCCCCCTACGCTTCCCCCCATAGTAACTTTATTTCACATGTTAGCGTTGTCCTCTGTTTCCAAAATTTCAGGGCAAAGACGGTGGGTTCATTGTCCGGGATTCCATCAGCAAGAGGGGAAAATACACCGTCTCTGTGTTTGCCAAGTCCTCTGCGTGAGTATGGCCTGCTGGTGCAGAAACTGAGGGGGTATCCCTTCATCCTCCACTAAGCTCATTCTCAGTTAGAAGTGTCACCTGCAGAACCAATAGCATGATGATGATTGATAGATCTCAGAGGATATCTTCCTTCTTCCGGTCTTAAAAGTGCGAAGTGGCTGATTTGTTGAGTTTTGTTTTGTTTGGGTAGCTCCTCTTACAACCTGCTTATCAACAACTACAACTACTACTACAACTACTACTATTACTACTACTATCACTACTATCACTACTATTACTACTATTACTATTCTGTTACTTCTATTACTACTATTACTATTACTACTACTAAGAACGACAACAACAACGACGACGACAACAACAACAACAATAATGTGGCGTCAAGTTAATTCTGACTTATGGAGACCCTTTTCAGGGTTTTCCAGGTAGAGAATACTCAGAAGTAGATGGTCATCCTCTTCTTCTGCAGGTGCCCTGGGGCTGTGCAGCTGGCCCAAGGCTACACAGGCCGGCTCCTCTCCCTGGAGGCCCGGTGGAGGGGGGCGGGAATCAAACTCCCAACCTCTGACTATGTAGCCAGAGACCGAACTCACTAAGCTATCCAGCCATCTTATACCTCATAGCCTCAGGTTACTATCCCCAAATTTTCTGAGGTGATGGTTGATGCCCGTCAATAGCCTTATCTGGAATGACTGTTTTTATCACCAGCAGTCCCAGTTATAGAGACAATAGCAGTTTTTAACTTCCAGGGATCAGAGCTGGCCAAGGTGGCTTGGGAGACTGTGGGAATGTTAGTTTCCAAGTAAATTCTCCAAGCTCCGGGCTAGGTCTGCCCCATTCCTTTGTATAATTGATGCAGGATTACTTTCACAGGGACCCCCAAGGGATGATCCGCCATTACGTGGTTTGCTCCACACCCCAGAACCAGTATTTCCTGGCAGAGAAGCACGTCTTCAACACCATCCCAGAGCTCATCCATTACCATCAGCACAACTCAGCAGGTGAGGATGATATACAGTATGTTTAGGGTGAAAGAGAATGACGGACTTTCATTAGAAAAATGCAGGGAGAGTGGAAGAAACGAAACAGGGGCTGGATCGGAGGAGCGCCTGGTTGAGAATTTGCTTGTGGGATGCTCAGTACATTGCGTTGAGTTGCACAGGAGAGAAAAATTGCTCCATTCCTAAAATAAATTAAATGACACTAACCTTATTTGTGTGAGGTGTTCCAAAACTGGCAGTCCAAGTCCTTGCATGGAATCGTCCACCGAGCAGTCCAGGGGAAATGGAGCCTTTCCTTTGGCCAAACTTAAAGGATCACTCAAAGACAAGCTGTCTTTTTGTGTGAGATGTGAGAAAACTTGAACTCAAAACCTTCAGGCATACGGACCTGCACCGGGAGGGTGTGGATACACGCTGAAGTTCTCCAAGGAGGCATGAAGAAAAGTGCATGGTCTGATCACTAGCCAACAGAACTGGAGTATCCAAATGAGCTTTCTTCGTTTGGGGATTGGTCGGCAGACTTTAAGCTTGGGGTTCCTTTTACTATTTCCTCAAACGTGACAAGACTGCCTTGGCTACCTCTCTGCAATATTAATGTTGCCTTCATTGCTACTCAAGGGCTAGTTCTAACATCTGGCTCTGGCTTCACCTTTCCTGTTTATTAAAAAGTGGATTTCCAGCCTCTTATGTCTGTGCAGATGGGCATAAAAGGGAGGCTTAGATCGTAAGATTGCCAGTGAATTTCCAGCCCTAGTCAAAAAGCCAATGTTGGCCTTTAAAGTCCTAAACAGCTTGCCTCAAGGAGGACTAGTTACACTAGTATGGATTGCCCAGTACTAACTGGTCTGCTCTTAAGTTCAATAAAGTTGGCAGAGCAGTGGTTGGGCAGATAGGTGGACTGATCACAAGCACATACCAGTGAGTTTTCTGTTGAATATTCCATTTAGAGAGATGGCTGATTCCGCCAATGTCTTCCGGTGGTTCGTTTGTTTTTTAAATGATTTAAAAAATAGACTTATATTTAAATGAAAAGATCTGCTGCAAAATTTTATCTTGATAAGTCGTCACCAGCTGGCTTGGGGATATCAGTTTTGAAAAGTGATTGAGACATACAGTATATTTAAAAAACAGATAAATATTAGGCATGGAGCTTTCATGCTCTAAAGACCTGGCCAGCAGGCAAACCATAACAGTTGTAATGGTTGCAGAATAATTATGTGAAACAAGAGCTCCTTTGCTCACGATGAAATACACAAGTCTCAGAATGTGGATTGGTTATATTATGTTGAATTTTGATGTTTTCAGCCCAAACACATTTGTGTACATGAACAAACTGACTTTGGCCGTATGTTCTGTGTTTAATGTATATATTTCTGCATTAGATGAATACAGGTTATATGCTTTTTTTTGGTCATAGTTAATGCATTATTACAAATTCATTCCCCATAATTTAAATTATTTTAAAACTTTCCAGGGCTTATATCCAGATTAAAGTACCCGGTGTCGTCGCAACAAAAAACAGTGCCTTCCACAGCAGGACTTGGATATGGTAACAGCTACGTGTCCTTAAATTTGGGGTGGCTCTGTGTGGTATACCTATGCCCTTGCTATTCTCCTGTTTTTTTTTCCTCCTGCCATAGAAATTAGGTTTAAGAAACATGATCCAAATTTCACAGTGGCAGCCGCAGGAGGATTTGGGAAGCTGAGTATTTTAATTTCCAAGAACGCCATGGATTGCCCAGTGCTGGAGGTTCTCAGTCCCTGTAGGGAAGCACAAGTTCAATGGTGGATGGTTCCCTCAGCCTCTTCTCCCCCTCCCAATGACCCTTTCCTTGCTCTGCACCATGGTTTACACCTGGCTGGTGCTTTGTGCTGCTTCTAGGAGCCTGGGAGATCGACCCAAAGGACCTGACCTTCCTGAAGGAGCTCGGGGTGGGGCAGTTTGGAGTGGTCAAGCACGGGAAGTGGAGGGGCCAGCACGACGTGGCCGTCAAAATGATCAAGGAAGGCTGCATGTCGGAGGACGCCTTTATTGACGAAGCCAAAGTCATGATGTAAGTAGCAGCAAATGGGCCTTTTGTCATGAGGTCCAAGGTGGGGCGTCCCTTTCAGTCTGAGAGCCTAATCCAGCTCTCGGAGCTGTCTTGCAACTCAAAGCACCCGATTTGCCCATGTAGTTTGGCTTGCATGGCCAGTACGTAAGCCTTACAAGAGGCATCTTGGCACAAAGGTTAATGCGGGGAAAAAAAGAAACTCACCCTGTTTCTCATCGGGCTGCTCTTCAGGAACCTCTCCCATGAGAAGCTGGTACAGCTGTTTGGAGTCTGCACCAAAGAGAGGCCTATCTTGATTGTCACCGAGTACCTGTCTAAAGGTTGCCTCTTGAACTACTTGCGGGACAATCGGAGCTCCTTCCAGGCCACGGAGCTCCTGGAGATGTGTAAGGACGTCTGTGAAGCCATGGAGTACCTGGAATCTAAGCAGTTCCTGCACAGGGACCTGGTAGGGACAGCTGTTTGCCTCTAGCTTAGTTTGCACATGGATGCAAGTCGGTCTCTGTCTGGGCTGTGCCACTTCAAATGAGTGGGGGGATGAGCTTATCTTACACCCAAGTAAATGTGCATATAATGATAGGCTGATTCTACACTTGAAAAAAAAAACAGGGCTTCTTCCACTTACGAACACAAGAACACAAACTCCAGTCAAGGCTTTTAGAATGCCAAATGGGTAGAATCTTAGGTAAAGGTAAAGGTTCCTCTTGACAATTTTTGTCCAGTCGTGTTCGACTTTAGGGGGCGGTGCTCATCCCTGTTTCCAAGCCATAGAGCCAGTGTTTTTTGTCCAAAGACAATCTTCCATGGTCACATGGCCAATGCGACTTAGACACGGAATGCTGTTACCTTCCCACCGAGGTGGTCCCTATTTATCTACTTGCATTTGCATGCTTTCGAACCGCTAGGTTGGCGGGGAATGATAGGCTGATTCTACACTTGAAAAACAACAACACAGGACTTCTTCCACTTATGAACACAAACTCCAGTCAAGGCTTTTAGAATGCCAAACGGGGGTAGAATCTTACCGCCACTATTTTACAGGAAATAAGGGTTCTTATAGGGCAGAGCAAATACTACTGTTTATATTTCGTGTTTGCTTTTCCCGATCTTATGCCCTCCAAATGTGTTGAACTGTGGCTCCCGTTGGCCCCATCTGGCTGTGGTAATAGTCAAGGATGTTGGGAGTTGTAATGCAGAACGTCTGGAGGGACTTGCTAGGTTGAGGAAGGCTGATCTCCCATCTCTGCCATGCTGCCCCTTTCTGTGTTTGTTGTTCTGTAACAAAGGAAAATAGTCAAGACAGTGTCCCAGAAAGCTTGCCCTGCTGTTGTAAGGGTGGAAGATTTGGACCCTAGGCTACAACAGCTGGTACTGCTATTTGGGATGCTATTAACGTTGCTAGTTTTTTCTTGCTTTGGATAATCCCTCAGTTAATATCCATTAACGCACGCGCGCGCGCGGGGTACAAGATGGTAATGTCTGTATTTTTTGCCTCTCCCGGAGAGTCTATTACTTTTGCTAAAAATTCTGTTCACATTGGTTCAGGCAGTGCAATCTCTTCAACTCATGCAGAAAAGCTCGTGTACCTACAAACACATAGGAATGGCAAGCAAAGCCTATGGTTTTTCTTTTTTCTTTTTCACAGCTTGGTATCAGATAAAGAGAGGAGGAAATGAGGAGGAAACCCTTGTTTACAGCTTATTAAATAGTTCCTTTGTAAAGGTGGCACCTGCAGAACTACAATAGGGCTGCAACCAAGCTCCAAACAAGGGTTTCCTCCTCTGTATCTCTGTGGCCATTTAATGCAAAGAGACCTGAACATCCCCAGTGTGACTTTGCCATGAATGAATGTGAATGAATTTGCATGTCACTGGCTGCATAGTCACACTGATATCAAAAGGCAAAGGTGAGTCTATGGTTTTTAGGCTATAATGCTGTTCCTTTGAGACCCCCCTCTTTTTATCTCTCTACTGCAGGCTGCTCGCAACTGTTTAGTGAATGAGCAAGGCGTCATCAAAGTCTCTGATTTTGGTCTCTCCAGGTCAGTGTGTTGTTGTTGTTTTTTTGGCCTCTGTGTTTGGAGGGGACTGTGTTGCTTTGATTTTCCTTTTTCTCATTTGCTTTTCAAAATTTCCCTCTGCTTGCTTTTCCTTCCTGAGCTCCATCTTTGACTTTCTTATTTACTACTTTGTTTGCACTCCTTTCTGTCATTTCACTCACCCTCCTGCTATTTTGTGCTCCTTTTAAAAACTGTCGGTTGAAGGCTTTGCCCTAATTAGACAAATTCTGATCATCAGGCCTACTGGCAGGTGGTATAAAAATCCTCTTCCACAGGTTTTGAGCTCTGCTGAGCAGGCGCAACATATCCACAGCACAGCCTCCAGTTATAACGGTAGAAACTCTGCTACTAGCACTCATTTTGTCAGATATGTTTTCAGCCAAACACAGCATGGTGGAGGAAGGCTGGAGTTGGTGGATCCAAAGTCCAGTAGCCTTCTCCAGGAAGATGGAGGATTGGAGTCATTAATAATGCCATTATTTCTTCGGTAGTATGCGTGGAGGGCATTAAAAACTGCACAGATCCATCAGGCCTTTTCCCCTTGATGATATGAGCTGAAAGGGTCTGGAAATGGCAGGGCATTTGTCATTTCAATGCTACCCACCCACTCTTCGAATTCTTGATTCCATTGAAACTTAAATCCTATGAAGGCAAACTGTTTAATTTATTACATAAAACTGCATTTGGAGGAGGAAGGCCCACAAATTGTTCTAGCCATTTTGACCAGCATCACAAAAAAAATGTAGCCACGTGTGAAAGTCACTTCTTCACTGATTGTGATGAACTTCTGGAAGGCACAAGATTCTTCTTGTTCAACTTGGGGGAACCATTCCGTGGACAGCTTCCGCAATAGAGGTGGGTGGAAACTGTGTCAGTCCGTTGCAGCAGATCAACAAAGCGTTTTGTTCCACCCAAAAGACTAATATATTTGTTATGCCAGGAATGCTGTTGGTCCCAAAGAATGCTCTTTGTCAGATATGGGAAGAGGGGTTTATGCTGGAAAAGTGCATGCCTCAGTAAACGTTCCATTGGTTTCTCAAGATGCCACGAAACGTAAAACTGGCATCACAACCATCTGTCTCTAGGTATGTCTTGGACGATGACTACATCAGCTCCATGGGGTCCAAGTTCCCAGTCCGGTGGTCTCCTCCAGAGGTTCTTCTGTACAGCAAGTTCAGCAGCAAATCAGATGTCTGGGCTTTTGGTGAGCTAAAAGGATACGGAGCCGATGGAAAACCCAAAATAGTAAAGCCGTGTGTGTGTGTGTGTGTGTGCGCACGCGCACGCGCGCGCGCGCGCGCAGGGAGACATGTCAAAGTTATTCTATCAGAATTACATGGCCCTCATAGTGCTGCTGGTATGATGTGTGGGATCAAAGAGAAGGGGAGCAAACCGGTAGAGAGCAGAGATGGGAAGGATTCGGACGACCTGCTCCCAGAATAGCCAGTGAACTATGCTTGCTTGCCGATGGTGGGCGTTGCTTTTGTTCTGTTCTTGGAAAAATCCCTCCTCCCATCTTATATCTGCCTCTTCAGTGCTGCTCATTGCATGGATCTGGGATCTGTTAAAGGGACCTCCCATTGGCCTCCAGCCCTAAGAAAAGGCTCCATAGGCAGGCTTGGTGTATTCACGCAGGGATGTGTCTATGGCCTCTGCAGAAGACAAGCACTAGCAGTAGGACAGGTAGGGCCCCCAAGTGGGGCATTCCAAGAGCATGCTTTGGCCCTCAAGTTGTTCCAATCCTCCAAGAAGCCTCCCCATATTATGTCATTCTACAGCTGGCATAAGAATGTCCCTTCCCTTTGTAACAGGGAGGACACCACTCGGCCAGAGTAATCTTGGAAAAATTCACCCCTCCATTTCTTTTCTAGCTATGTGACCCAACAGGGCCATGGGCAAAGTGGCGAATCCTGTCTTCATTTCTTCTCCTTCCCCTGTTGGTTCTGCCTGGCCTCCTGCCTTTCCATAGGAAACCAGCATTTAGATCTTGAAACCGAGAAAAATGCCTAGAGCAGACAAAGCCAACTTGTGGTTCTCCAGATTTTGTTAGATCACAACTTGCTGCACCGCTAACCAGTATAACCAGTGGTGAGGAATACTAGGAGTCACAGACCAATGCTATCTGGAGGACCGCTTGGTCTAAAGGGCGTTTGTTCATATTTTAACACACGCTTGTGCCCTGCTGCCTCATCTTGTTATAAACGTAAATCAAGCAGCCGGTAAGATAAGCATCTTAATCAGGTCATGAAGGAAAGCGAATGATCTCAACCAGTGCTCCAGGGTTTGAGAACACACCAAGTGGAGTGGAAGTGCAGGAAAGAGCAGGCTTGTATCACAAGTCCACACGGATACAATAATTACAAGGATAGCTGGATTAGTTCTGTTTTGCCGACCCAGGGTGCAATCAAAGGGCTGCAAAAGCATGGCCTGGATCACGCTGGAAAGGGTCATTTTCACAGGAGCAATCCCCCTCAAAGTGAACCTTCTGTCTGCCAGGGAATTGAAATCAGGCTGGAGTGAATTTCCCTATTGTGCTTTTGTGATTGCTAGGAAATAGATCACGCTGTACTATGCCACGAGTGTTTCTAAATTGTGATCTATTTCCCCGTGTAATCACGTTCTTCATTTGCAAGGAGCATCTGCAAAGCCTTGCTAGTGTAAAAAATGGATATAAGCCCTGGTTGTGGTTTGTATTTTTTGCATTTACAGAGGGATCTCTAAAAATCATTTTGTGGTGGATACGTACCATAATTTTCTGTGTATGAGACTATACTTTTGTATAAAATCTTTAGAATAAAAATTGAGGGTCGTCTTATACATGGAAGTAAGCTGAGGAGAGAACAAAAACAAGTGGAGGGGAAAGCAGGGATCAAAGCAATCCTGCAGAGCTTTCATCCCTTTCCCCCTACACTTGCTAAGTCCCACTTAGATTCTTTACTTTTGGGTTAGAAAACTACATGGGGGCGTCTTATACACAGAAAAATACGGTACCTGTATGCCTTTTATTGCTTTGTTATGGCAGTCCTACAGTTATGCTGTGCTCACAAATTGCAGGGCTACAGATTGGTGGCAGCCCTTCATTTCCCAGGTACAGAAAGCACCCATCGGCACGAGGCCACCATGGAAAAGAACAGCATCACTGCCACTTTCATAAGTAACACACGGAGCCCACAGCAGCTCCTGACCAAGTTTCCCGTGGCACAGAGGCATCTCGGAAGAAAACATTGAATGCCCTACCCGTGTTTCCATCTTTCATTGTGATGTCTTTCTGCACGTCAGGTGTTCTGATGTGGGAGGTCTACAGTTTGGGAAAGATGCCCTACGAGAGGTTTACCAATAGTGAGACGACCGAACATGTGACCAAAGGGCTGCGTCTCTATCGTCCCCAGCTCGCCTCCGAGAGAGTCTACGCTATCATGTACAGTTGCTGGCATGAGGTAAGCCACCATTCCTGTCCCTGAGCCGCAGTCCTTTCCCTGAAAGACTGAATGGCATTCAGGGTCAATGGCTAATGTAGGGATACAACATCTGTTTTACTTCAGTTCAGTATAGAATAAGTATCTGACATTTTCCTCTTTTGGTTGGCCCATCCTGTTGAGAAGAGGTCTCGTATTTAAATACTTAACCAATATGTTCTCTTTTTAAAAAAGGCTCATCCAGATAAATTTTCTCCTCTCTTGTATTCTTTGGCTCTAGAAAGCAGAGGAACGCCCCACCTTCCAGACTCTTCTGGGACACATCATGGATTTAGCAAATGAAGACCCCTGAATCGCCACCATCGACTGCCCATTTATTGTGTTTGTTTTTGCCATCTTTGCATGTTTGCTCGGGAAGTTCTGAAAGGTCACAGGAGGGCAGAATCTCCAAGGAACCCATTAGGACAAGAGTAATTGGATCCATACACACAAAAAAAGAGGATTCTTTATTTTTGGTTCCATAATAACTGGCTTGTATCTGAAGAAGACCACTTCCTCTTTAAAATGGCAAAGATCCCTTTCGAGGCAAGGATTTCTTTCTCGCTCACTCCCCAGAGTGACTTAAACAAGTTCTCAAGGATAAAGTCATTCAGAAACTCGATGTGCGACGATGGAATAAGAGTTACAAGAAATAATATGAAAATGAAAGATGTCTCACCAGAAGGAGATACTTCTCATTGTGTGAGCTGCTGCCCCCCCCCTTCCTGGCAAAAATTCCACGGGTTCCAGCTTGGTTTGGTCACTCAAGGAAACTTTTATTAAAAGCACGAGTCAGCGCCTACTGTCCCGTCCCCTGACTTCCTAGAAGGTTGCGTTTCGGGCACTGACCCCTTGGGACAGAGTCAGTCCAGCTGGGGCCCCAGTTCAGTGGAGTCATGAAAATCCAGGTCTGGAGAAACGGGTGGAAAGGAGGAGTCCCCATTTGGGGCACACCCCTTTAAAGGTGGGCTGGTCCAGGTGGTTGATGGTGGGGGGGGGACAGGGCTCTTGTGGCCCTCCACCTTCCAGAGCTTCCTTTGCCACACCCAGCATTGCTTGTGGCTCCAGGGCCAACACTGGGTTGGGGTAAGCTCTGCGGCGATGGTTGGGCAGCGAGACTGGATGGATGGTGGTGCCGGATCCTCTGGGGCTGCGCTGCCAGAGCCTGAGGTCCCTGGCCTCCTCCTTAGCTGAATGGGCTGGGCAGGAGGTGGGGGCTCCCCTTCTCCTCTATCCCTCTTTGCACCTTTTTGGAGGCGCAGAAGGTGGGACCTGGTCTTCTAGGGCCTCATCCCATGTCTCCTCTTCATCTGGCGTGGTTGCCAATAATCCCTGAGCTCAGCCACTCCCACTTGCTTATTCCTGCTGTTTTCCGCTCCCTCCAGCTGTCCCACCCTTCCTCCCACCTGCGGCCGACCGTCCCTTGCGGGCTAGGGACCCCGGAGACGTGCTCTCTCCTGGGCTCCCCTGGTGTTATGGGGTGGGGGCCAGTTGGCCTGCTGGGGTCACTCGAGAGACCCTCTCACCCACTGCTTTGTCTTCTTCCCTGGATGGCAGCACCGCCAGGGCACCGTCCTGGGCTTGATGAATCAGAGAATGATCTGACCTAAGATAAGGCAGTTTCCTGCCCTTTTGTCATTTTTTACTCTCTTGGCACCACCTTGCTTGTGGACTGTGAAAGAGGGCAGTTCACCCCACATTTTGGGGAGGCACCATTCTGCCGTGACCAGGAGCTAGGCTGACATCCGTCTCTTGTGATCTTGGCTGTTAAGTAGGGTCAAGCCTGGTTAATACTTGGATGGGAGAACACCAAGTGATGGCCATCCAAGCCTTACCTTGGAAAGAATCCCGTCCAACGGCCCTACAGAACTATTGCCCGTCACAGTTGATTAAGTATTGGACTAGGTGTTTCAATGGTCTTACACAGTATAAAGCAGCTTCTTGTGCTCATCTTACTGTCACAAATTCCCTCTTCATATGTGCTTTCTACTACCCAAAGTACAGAAATGCTTTTTATTTTTCAGCATTTTTAAAGGTTGAATCTACACAACTGCACTCATGCATCCACACACTTCCCTTCAGCTCCTAAATTAGATTCAGGATGCTGAGAAATACTACCCCAGAAAGGGAAGGGGAAAACTTTATATAGGATTGTAAGTATATATTCTAGGATACATATGTGCTTTCTACTACTCAAAGTGCAGAAATGCTTTTTATTTTTCAGCATTTTTAAAGGTTGAATCTACACAACTGCACTCATGCATCCACACACTTCCCTTCAGCTCCTAAATTAGATTCAGGATGCTGAGAAATACTACCCCAGAAAGGGAAGGGGAAAACTTTATATAGGATTGTAAGTATATATTCTAGGATAATAAACAGCTTCTGCTTAAAAAAACATGTAGTAGATTTTAATATAATCCAGAATGGGGAAGAGCAAAACACAACGTCAAATTAGTAGCTGCTAAATCTGCATCCTTTTAAATGATACTAACTTTTCTGTGAGAAAATTTGGGAGGTGGGGCAATAACTAGGAAAAGGGTCACTTTGCACGAGAGTCTGTAGACAGCATGGGAGCTGTGGTTCCCAAAGTAAAGTTTCCAAGCTGTGCCTCCCCCCGGGTTGTATGGAGGAGATCTGAGACCGAGAACAGCATACAACATTCCTGTAATCTCTGTACTATTTCTAGCCATTGCAGAGTGCTCTGTACAGACTTTCTCTGAGTCTGTAGACAGCATGGGAGTTGTGGTTCCCAAAGTAAAGTTTCCAATCTGTGCCTCTCCCCGGGTTGTATGGAGGAGATCTGAGACTGAGAACAGCATACAATATTCCTGTAATCTCTGTACTATTTCTAGCCATTGCAGAGTGCTCTGAAGATCCCCGAGTGCCTATTACACCAATCCTACAAGGATTGCCCTACACTACGGAAAGGGGGCTGAGAGCCTTAAGGATAGCAATCCTGTCCCAAAAAACTGTATGTGGACACTTGATCTCTGGTTGTCTTGTGAAAGAAGTCTATAGAAGGCATGTGGATCCCTAAAAACTCAAATTTAAATACAGTACAACAGCCTAAAATTTAAGGTGCCACTGTGTTGTGGTTGTTTGGCCAAGATCTATGATCTAACTAATATGTCAATGCAATCCTACAATGGCACAGAAGTAAGTCCCACTGAGTTCAACTATTCAGGGAGTGCCATCTGTCACTTATGGGAGTAGCTGCCATTACACTCCAAGTAGTTTCCTTGTCACTTCGCACGTACAAGCGACGGCACTGCACAGCAGACAACTCTAGCCACTATGTTTATTTATTTATTTAAAATATTTTCACCCCGCCTAACTCCTAAAAAAAGGATCCAAGGCGGCTTGCATAATTAAAAACACAATATTAAAAGCCAAAAAAAACACAGCAAATTGTGCAAATATTGAAAAAAAAAGAATTAAATAAACGTTAAATTTTAAATGGTAGGTCAGAAGCACTGCTAAAATAGATTTAAAAGCAACACTATTCACTCTGACCCACAAGGAGCAAACCTTTGGCAAGTCAGATTTTTTTTTTAATTAAAACTCCCACAATCCCCATCATATATTACCCAATGATAAAGGAGTGTGGGAGGTGCAGTCCACTTTGGAGCGCTAAAAAAAGAGAAAGAAACACCTCCCCTCTTGCTCCACCCATCTTTCTGTGTCTATGGTGAGCGAGGGGGACGGAGCGCCCTCCTTTTTTTCTGGACCGGAAACGGGAAGCGCTCCCACTGCCGGACATGCGTAGTGAGGCGGCGCCGGCGGCTTTGCGCGCATGCGTGGAGGGCTGGCCCGGGGAGGCACGTGAAGGTCGCGGGGAGCCTTCTCCATTCACACGTACCGGAGCGCGGTTTCTTTCCCGTCTCTCGGCTCCGCTCCGCTCCGCCGGCCCGGCATGGACCCGTCGTCCGCCGTGGGGGACTTGGGAGCGGCGGTCAACGACCCGCAACTGCAGCACTTCATTGAGGTGGAGACGCAGAAGCAGCGCTTCCAGCAGCTCGTGCACCAAATGACGGAGCTCTGCTGGGTAAAGGGCGGGAGAAGGAGAGGGAAGGGCGGGCCTCGCCTCGCTGGCGGCGGTTAGGAGCCCGGCCTCGCCTTGGCACGTGCCCCTCGAGGAGGCTGTGGAACTCCCCGCCACGAGATGTGGCAAAGCCTGGGTGGGTGGGAGGTCTGTGGATGGCTGTTAGTCCTACAGACTAGAGCCTCCCCATGCAGGGGCAGTCAGCCTGAATTCTACAACCCGTGGGAGGGCTGTAGTGTAGTTGGCTTCACACTCTGTGTGTGTGGGCTTCCTGGAAGCACCTGGCTGGTCGCTATTCATTTATTTTATTTATTTATGTAACTTATATGTCGCCCACTCTACCCAAAGGTCTCCGGGCAGCATATAAGTTAAATAAAATGAAATAAAATATATAAATAATAGCGCCCAGCCAGGTGCTCCCACCTGGATGCTGCATTAAATAAACCTAGGGCTTCATCCGGCGAAAGCTCTTTCTGTCCTTGTAAAATGGTCGTTTGCCCAGAACAAGTGCCACTTTGCCACCCACTGCAGTGAAAGAGTTCCCTGACCCCCTTTTTATAACAATTAAAAGGTGTATTAAGGAATATCCAAGGTACCTTTCATAGCATTTGCTTGTCCTAGGTGATTGCGGCTGCCAAGAGAATCATCACGGCACAAATGAGAAAAAGATAAGTTGATAGAAAATGTTAGGAGTCCTCATACGGAACAGCTCTTCTCAAATTTGGTGCTCTGTGTAGAGTCTTTGAATTCCAACGACTGTAGTGTACTAGAAATCCCTTATCGTTAGCTCAGGGTTGTGGGCGTTTTGTCAAAGCACATCTGGAGCCGTTAACATGGGAAGTTATTATTGATGGACCCTTTCAGAGTTATTTTTTAAAGTTTTCTCTTGGCCGCTGTCAGTTGTCATTGATAGAAAGTGGAAGGCTGGTTTGGTGGGAGAGAAAAAACAACTCTTGGCTTCCTAACCTAATTTCAGTTGCATTTGCTGGTTAGTTTAACTATTAATTAAGCTTTTGTGTTGATCTCTTTGGAGAATTAAGTTGTGAAGAACTGGGAGTTTCAGAGCTACTGGGATGTTGGGCTTGGCTCTCCTGTTGAGCTTATCTCTTTCCATCAGCCAGTTGTTAAATATTGGAGCCTTGCTTTTACAGAATCAGATGGTTACTGCATAGTCCATTAAATGCTTACACTCTGGCAGTATCTTTCCCAGTTCTACTGCTTGAGATTGCATGTAGGATTTCCTGCACAGAAATGGGTTGTTTGCTGCTGAGCTAAGGCTCCTAGGAGTGTACATAGTTTGCAACCAGATTGGGTGGAAATTGTAATCTAGGTAATTTAAGACCTTTCTCTTCAGGCAGGGTTTTCCTTAATGACAGGTGGTGTGAAAGGGGTTTTGTTATGCTCTGTTTTAAATGTGTTTAATATTGATTTTAGTCCCCATTGTAATATAGCACTTGTTTAATTCTTTTTAAAAATTTGTGTACTCACTGTTCTGGCTTTTAAATATAGTTTTAGTGCTGTAAGTCACCTTGGGTCCTTTTGGGGAGAAAGGCAGCATTGAAATAATTTAAATAAACAAATAGTAGTCATCTCACAGGAAGAATAAAAGTGGAAGTGGTGGCACTGTGAGTAGTAAGGATGATGATGCAGGCATGCGTATCCTGATGCAATGATAAAGACAGCAGGTGCATTATTTGTAAAGCTCATTTCCCTGTCCTCTTGCTGTATATTTAAAGATGTATTTAGCTTAATGTTGTTTTAACTTGCTGCTGTTGTTACACACTCTTGATTCTTAGTTTCACATTATTTGAATTTAAGAAATTCTTTTTGAATCAAGTTAATTCAAGTAAAATTAATTCAAATAAATTTGTTATTTGATTACAATTATTTGATGGTTACGTGGTTTTACATAGCTTTCATACCTTTCAGGTGTGGGTTTTACTGTTAGCTGTCGTGGGCATACATTATGGAAGGATGTGGGAGCTGGACGCAAAATCCAAGCATTGTCAGTCACGTAGCAGAGAGAAGAAAAGAGAAGGGAGAGAAGAAATCCTGCATGAGATACTTGTTTGTTTCAAGATGGTTTTACTGTTCAGAATTTCTGCTGCTGCTGTCTTTTGCATAGCCTTGAACCCCTAGATCAGCGGTTCCCAACTTTAGATGTCTGGATATTCTTGGACTACAACTCCCAAAAATCCTGGTCAGCACAGCTAGTGGTGAAGTCGTCTGGGAGTTTTAGTCCTAGGAACACCAGGGGATCTGAGGTTGGGAACGACAGCCTTATCCTCTGGCAAGCTTCAGGTTTATAGTAGCTACTTTACTATTATGAATAGAATCCTGAGATCATAAATCTGAACTCAGAATTCTATATGGGGAGACAGTGAGCTGATGTTTACTGCTGCCATTCAAATTGCTTCTCATTCTTTCCGCACATAACACACACACACCTCACACACTTTGTTACCATAGCATTTCAGCAGTATTTAAGGCAATGGAAGAGAATTTTTTTTTTACTGCTACTCAAAATAATTGAGAGTGAGAAATCTGTGTAGATTCAAGTTTGCCTTCTACCATTCCTGCCCTAGGTTAATTTTCTCTCTTTCTCCTTTATCCTGAATAGGAGAAATGCATGGACAAACCTGGGCCCAAGCTGGACAGCCGAGCGGAGGCCTGTTTTGTGAACTGTGTGGAGCGCTTCATTGACACCAGTCAGTTTATTCTTAACCGTTTGGAGCAGACGCAGAAATCCAAGTCGGCTTTTTCCGAAAATCTCTCGGACTGAACTGGAAGCTGCAGGGTCACTGTTTTCTTTTGTTAAAGGGGAAGCGATCTATGATATGGGAATGGAGGAGGTGGCTAAAAGAGAACAGAGGAAAGGATCTCTAGGGATACGCTGTGCAGGGGGTCAACCTCCATGTCTGTGATGGACGCCTGAGCTTCCTGACCACCTTGACTGATTCTGGTTTTAAATTCAACTCTTATGGACATCAGCAGTCAGACCAATGAGGCCATATAACATCACACCCTTGATTCTTAACATGGGCTTGTGTTGCCTTTTTTTATTTTTAAAAAATATTCTATTTTGGATAATGGGAGCCTCACATCAGAATTTTGACTTGAACAGCTTGCTTTCCCAGTGGTGTAACCAGAGAAGCACACCTGTCAATGCTTGAGGACTTCCTTGTTCTTCATGGTATAAGAGATCAGGGAAGCTTCAGACGCCAGTGTGAATCCAGGAAAGGGCAAGGGGTCTAAATGTGCCTTTAGAAATGGTACGGTGCTTTATTAGCATGAGTCCTTTAAACAGTATGAATCTCTTGCCTGCTACTTATCTGAACATGCAACTGAGTTGACCTTTGTTAAGCTGTGAATAGGTGGTAGCAGATGAACAGAGGGAGGCAAACATAGTTTGTGGGGTGTATGCCAGTAGAGACTCATCCATTTTTTAATGAGGTGCTTATTCCGACCCTCCTTATCACTGCTAGGATGACAAATTCAAGGGGCATGGCTGCTGGGAAGGAATATCATTTACATGGTCATGTAAATGTTTCACTCACTAAGTCTAGAAGTTAATCCTCAATTTCTCGATTTACTCCTTTCCTCTTGATCAGTGGAATAAACATCAGCTGAATCCATTTTAAGCTGCACTGCCTCTTGGTGGTGGTTTCTTCCACTAGGATTGCCAGGCGATTAAATACGGGGTGTGTATGCGGTAGGTGGCACTGATAGTATTCTAGAAGAAGCAGCATCTCCTATACCTTATAGGTCTACAGTGCTATGGTGTTAGTTGGCACTCCTTTGTTTTTGCATAAGCGATTGTCTGTGAATTAATGAATCACATGAGACACCCCAATAAATCCGCATGAAGTGCCAGTCCTCAAACAGTGTTTTAGTTGGCACACCGTCTCTTCAGAGATGTACTAGTGATGTGTAGCCCCAGGGAAACTTTGGTAAAGTGTCCCAGCCCTACTGGTGACGCTTATAGGCCATGGGCAGAGAGTGAGCTGTTACAGTAAAAGTAGCCAGAACATTGATCCGTAGCATTTAATCCGTAAAGGACTGATTGCGAAATCACGATGTGAACTTAAGCTATCTCTGTTATTACTGTGTTTCATTGAAGTAAAAGTCAGTAAAACAATTGCTCCAGTGCTGGTGAACTCCAGTGGAGTAACCATGAAGCACTGACTCTAGGCTTGTCTCACAAGAGTTTCCTTATTTTCCCATAATAAAATCCATTAAACCCTTGTGGTATAACAAGCACTATGTAGCTTATGCTTTCATAGGTCACAGTAGCCTTTGAAATACTGGAAGCATCACCTAAGTGTTATACAGTATATGTATGCATACACACAAGTAGGGAGAAAAGAGATTATGATTCAGTCCCTCCTTTCCTTAGGGAGTCTAAAGGCCAAGCAATGTGTGTCAACATTCTGCACAATAATCAGATTCTTATACTGGTTGCACTTGGGTCTGTTTATTCTCCTTCCCCTGTTGATTCTCCAGTGCCTAGATTGTAAGTTCACTGGGTCAAGAACCCATCACATCTCGTATTTAGAAAGCATCTTGTCCATACACGGCACTATATATTTAATAGTAAATAATTTACTCTTGTATATTCCTTTCTGTTGTGCTTACTTTCACCCATGCTAGTGCCTGGCTATGTTCTTTTTCAATAATAGTCTTTTGTGTGGTATCTGAGTAGGTACAAATTGTTCTTCTGTCCCTATTTTTCATCCTAGTGATATGCCAGTGGAGTTGGTAACTTTTCCTATTTTGATTAGGGCTCTCAAAACAAAAAGAAAAATAGTTTGCTTTTTAACTTGCTAAGTTCATAGCAATAAGAATAGTCAGTAGAACACAGGAATATCTTATCCTTTACCAGAGTAATAAAAACAAGTACTGTAAAAAGAAGTTAAGAAACATTGCAGACACTTTAACAGCCTAACTCTAGGCTTGGAACTTAATCTTGCCAAGTTCACCATGATTTCCTACTATATGATTACATATGATATGTTTAAAATTGTCTACAGGAGTAATAGGTTGATTCTTACAAATAACCGTGGGCTCTTTAGGTCAGATTCCAATCCATCAAGGTATTTGATACATGGAAAAGTTACCTAGTTATTATTAATTTTACTGTCTTCTGTCATGGAATTCAAGCAGGTCAGCTGCTCTTCTCTCCAGACAGCGATCAGACCCAGCTCTGCTTGCTTCAGCACAGTAGATACATTAACTCTTTTTGAGCCACATTGTGGAACCAAAAGCAAACTACCGTAAATAGGGCAAAATCTTAGCTGGGATTCTTGTGAATTCAGTGTCAAAAGCACTCAACTGTTTTGCAGTACTGGCAATATATGAAGGAAATTGTGCCTCTAGATTATATTGCAAATGCTGTTCTGCAGCCTTGTAGTGTCTCTGGAAAGGGGTACAGGAGAATCACAGAGCTTAATTTAACTACCCATGGTGAAAAATAACAGAGCCCTAATCCCTCCACCCATTAAAAAAAAGGCAGACAGGAAAATGAAAAGAGTCCATAAAAGTTGCTGCCACCTGTATAACGTTGGAGGACAAGGCTTGGAGGTGGAACCTGCAGATTTCTAGGTATTTGAACGGCAGTTCTCCACTCTGGGTTCAAAAGTGGAGGGAGTCCCAAAAGCAGAGAATGTGCGGTCTTCCAGCTATGGGCTAGACTTTCCACTACAAATGTGTTATGTATACTCCGGCCTGAATCATTCTAAAGGTAGAAAGGACAAAGAGGCCAAGGAGGTAATAATACACATCTATCCTATCCCAGATCAGGGTACGCTGCCCCCAGGTAGGGGCGAGAAAGCTGCTTCTAAAACAAGGGGGTCTCTCCATGACTCAGAACACCGCTCTATGGGCATGGACAGAGTTGGGGAATGTGAGCTACAGCCGTTCTTACAGACGAACGGCAGGGAATAAGGCAGATGAAAAGTGCAATAAGCGTATGTCACCTATTGAACCAAAACCAATAGCTGATCCCTAAAAGGAAGAGCAGGCATCCCAAACAGCTAAGTAGTCTGACCTATAAGGAACTACTTCATCTCAAGCATATTTAAAATAATATATTACATCTGCAACACTGTTATGGCTGTAGGTTCTGTATAAGCATATACAAAAAGTAATATTTATCTTAGATAACATGTAAACATTAACATATTTAAAAACATTAACCTTAAGGCCATATAAGTGCAGTGCCCTTACATTCAGAGACCAGTAGGACACCTTTATTGCCAAAATCAGGTGCATAGACAGAACAACAGCTTTGTTGCTGTAAGGCAAACTTGCATCTTGTGCCTTAACGGTTATTTCAGGGGAAAGTTCTTGTGATTCCAGCAAAACTGCTGTGCATTCTTCTGGACATACGTGGTTAAAGTCAGCTTGGACCTCATTCCTACGTTGATGAACTGAACTCCTTCCTATCATCCAAACAGACATCTGTGTTTCTTAAAACGATCCAAAACCCACCAAGAGAAACCATGCTTTCCTATCTGTTCACGTTTATCAGCTCTGATACACAACAATGCCAAGAGAGAAATAAAATGCTTAATTTTCCCTCTGGCAATTTTGTTTCCTTATTGGTACTGTATACAGTAGTTTGATGTGCCTCGTTTTATCTTTTTCTCCTAGTGAGGACAGCTCCTAGAGGTACCTCACTGGTAAGCACTCCATAAAATTCTCCCAACAATATAAACGTCCTTCTCCCTTAAACATCCTATCATCAGGAGATGCTCTGCAGGTTCAAGAGTGTTTTTCCATATGCAGTTCCTCTCAATAAATAAAATAAATGGGTCTTCCAAGCAGTTTAGCATGCAGACCTATCTTCTTGGTCTTCCAATCCCTCTTGGGTTGGCAGACCAGGATCTTTTTGCATAACTGAAAGGAAAAGGGGGGAAGACGGCTAGCAATACTGACAAAGACCAAATTCAGCTCTAGAGCTGCTACTGGCTCAACTCCAGTTTGACCACATTGGCCCTCTTGCACCAAATATATTATCAAAAATGTTCTTAGGAAGAGCTTCGTATTCGTATATTGGAGGGGGGGAAGGTCCCAAATACTCCAGTGTTTATAAATGGCGTCTGATTCAAATTCTCAGGAAAGCAGCAGTAAGTCTTGGAAGTGTTCATTCGCTGGTTGTCATGTGTTTGTGTAATAGGTCACTTTTCATACGCTTTGGCCATTCTGTTCCTCCCCTTTCTCCGTTCTCTCTTTGAGGACATGCTCTGAGTCCAAAAGGGGTTCGTGGAGACAGGATGGGTGCCTGTCCCTTTTTCTCCAAGAAGCGGTGTGCGCGTTTGTTCGGTCGTGCTTCAGGAAGACAGGCAGCAAGTCCGCCGTAAAAGGGACGTCTTTGAAAGCATGCAAGAGGAAGATGCCAAGAACTATTGTGAGAAAACCACTTAGGGTGCCAATGATGTTCATTAAGACCAGGTGCTGCCACTCCTTGAACAGAATGGCAGAGCATGTTATAACAGCTGTGGTGAAGAGGACATAATAGATGGGTGTGACCAGAGAGGTATTGAAGATATCCAAGGCCTTGTTGAGGTAGTTAATCTGGATGCTGATGCAAATCACAAGGCCGACCAAAAGCATCCAGCCCAAGGGTTCTTTCCAGATAGGTTTCCCAGCGAACAGCTCTTTCAGGGCAATGCCCAAGCCTTTGACGCAGGAGACGGAGAGCGAACCGATGGCTGAGCAGACCAGAACATACACCAGGACATTGCTCTGCCCGTAGCGAGGTCCAGCCACAAAGATGAGAAGGATGGGGCGAGAAAGCTGCTTCTAAAACAAGGGGGTCTCTCCATGACTCAGAACACCGCTCTATGGGCATGGACAGAGTTGGGGAATGTGAGCTACAGCCGTTCTTACAGACGAACGGCAGGGAATAAGGCAGATGAAAAGTGCAATAAGCGTATGTCACCTATTGAACCAAAACCAATAGCTGATCCCTAAAAGGAAGAGCAGGTGTCCCAAACAGCTAAGTAGTCTGACCTATAAGGAACTACTTCAACTCAAGCATATTTTAAATAATATATTACATCTGCAACACTTATGGCTGTAGGTTCTGTATAAGCATATACAAAAAGTAATATTTATCTTAGATAACATGTAAACATTAACATATTTAAAAACATTAACCTTAAGGCCATATAAGTGCAGTGCCCTTACATTCAGAGACCAGTAGGACACCTTTATTGCCAAAATCAGGTGCATAGACAGAACAACAGCTTTGTTGCTGTAAGGCAAACTTGCATCTTGTGCCTTAACGGTTATTTCAGGGGAAAGTTCTTGTGATTCCAGCAAAACTGCTGTGCATTCTTCTGGACATACGTGCTTAAAGTCAGCTTGGACCTCATTCCTACGTTGATGAACTGAACTCCTTCCTATCATCCAAACAGACATCTGTGTTTCTTAAAAGGATCCAAAACCCACCAAGAGAAACCATGCTTTCCTATCTGTTCACGTTTATCAGCTCTGATACACAACAATGCCAAGAGAGAAATAAAATGCTTAATTTTCCCTCTGGCAATTTTGTTTCCTTATTGGTACTGTATACAGTAGTTTGATGTGCCTCGTTTTATCTTTTTCTCCTAGTGAGGACAGCTCCTAGAGGTACCTCACTGGTAAGCACTCCATAAAATTCTCCCAACAATATAAACGTCCTTCTCCCTTAAACATCCTATCATCAGGAAATGCTCTGCAGGTTCAAGAGTGGTTTTCCATATGCAGTTCCTCTCGATAAATAAAATAAATGGGTCTTCCAAGCAGTTTAGCATGCAGACCTATCTTCTTGGTCTTCCAATCCCTCTTGGGTTGGCAGACCAGGATCTTTTTGCATAACTGAAAGGAAAAGGGGGGAAGACGGCTAGCAATACTGACAAAGACCAAATTCAGCTCTAGAGCTGCTACTGGCTCAACTCCAGTTTGACCACATTGGCCCTCTTGCACCAAATATATTATCAAAAATGTTCTTAGGAAGAGCTTCGTATTCGTATATTGGAGGGGGGGAAGGTCCCAAATACTCCAGTGTTTATAAATGGCGTCTGATTCAAATTCTCAGGAAAGCAGCAGTAAGTCTTGGAAGTGTTCATTCGCTGGTTGTCATGTGTTTGTGTAATAGGTCACTTTTCATACGCTTTGGCCATTCTGTTCCTCCCCTTTCTCTGTTCTCTCTTTGAGGACATGCTCTGAGTCCAAAAGGGGTTCGTGGAGACAGGATGGGTGCCTGTCCCTTTTTCTCCAAGAAGCGGTGTGCGCATTTGTTCGGTCGTGCTTCAGGAAGACAGGCAGCAAGTCCGCCGTAAAAGGGACGTCTTTGAAAGCATGCAAGAGGAAGATGCCAAGAACTATTGTGAGAAAACCACTTAGGGTGCCGATGATGTTCATTAAGACCAGGTGCTGCCACTCCTTGAACAGAATGGCAGAGCATGTTATAACAGCTGTGGTGAAGAGGACATAATAGATGGGTGTGACCAGAGAGGTATTGAAGATATCCAAGGCCTTGTTGAGGTAGTTAATCTGGATGCTGATGCAAATCACAAGGCCGACCAAAAGCATCCAGCCCAAGGGTTCTTTCCAGATAGGTTTCCCAGCGAACAGCTCTTTCAGGGCAATGCCCAAGCCTTTGACGCAGGAGACGGAGAGCGAACCGATGGCTGAGCAGACCAGAACGTACACCAGGACATTGCTCTGCCCATAGCGAGGTCCAGCCACAAAGATGAGAAGGATTACGCTCATCAGCATACACACGGCAAACACTATGAATCCTGGGAAGAAAATGGAGAAGGACATCAAAGCATTTTAGACATGGCTGATTTTAACACTGTTTAGCCAGCGCTGTTGAGAGTCAATGCAGTGTGGTGAGCAGAATTTCAAACGTGGACTCAGGACATCGGAGTTCAAATCGAACACTTGCCCATGGAAATTCACTGGGGTGGGGTGTTGGTAAAATCACTCCTTAGCACTTTCTCACCATGAAAACTCTGATAGGACTGGCATAAACTGGGAACAGCTTGACAGCACTTAAACAAACCGCTGGTGTTTCATTCTGTTAACATCAGGAATTCCCAAACTATGTTCACTGACAGTCTCTTTAAGTTCCATTCAGTGATCTGTAGAAAGGCTCTGGAATGCTATAAGATCTTTGCATTTGCCTCTGTGCTTGATTTCCTTTTTCTGACTACGGTCATCAAGACCAGGGCCAGATGATCAAAACAGGGTAAAAACTTGTCTAAGGCTGGTAGTTTTCAGATGCAGCATTGGCGCAGCCGACTCATTCATCCCTGGCAAAGAAGCATTCAAAGGGATCCCTCCACCAGCCTCACCTGTGGACAGTGCTATTTATAATACAGAGCTAGTTTTGACAATGTTGCTCAGGGAGAAACATATGAGCTGAACACATTTTTGGATTTATAGAACTGGGGCTGTCAATATTTAGTTCAGTTGCCAGTGTTTAAAGATTCTATAAATTGACCTCTGAAATGTTTGCAGGGCCAAAGGCTACAAACTATTCTTTTAGATTACCAATAACACAAGCTGGGCATAATTAGTAAACTCTGTTTGGGCAAATAGACTGGGAGACAGAGTCTTTCTAATATCTTGTGTTTCCACATTGCTAAGCTGGGAGAGTGGCTCACAGAATCAGACATAAAGAAATTACTGTGTAAGATATACACTCTTATACTGAGTTTGGCAAAAACCAGTATTAATTTTTCAGCACACGTGATTTAAAAGTCATTACTGTGATACAAATTCAAATAAATATGCCATAAATGTGGATAACCTTCAGCAGTGGTAAGAGAAAGCATGATGGGGTGAAAAGATGCTATCATGCATTTTCATTGATGGATAACTACTTATAGGTGGACAAGTGATTTCATTCTCTTAAATGAAATCAAAAGAACGTTAGATTTCTGTTTTTTCAGTCCAGTTAGGTTTTTCTTCCCAAACCTAATATGTTTACAATATGAAAAATAAGAGGCAGATTTAGTACCTGGATCTTTCAGTTTCTCTGCCATCGACTCCAGACTGGCGACCTCTTCTTCCTGTGGTGCATGGATCACCATCACAGTGGAACCTAAGATACTCAGGAGACAGCCTATCTTCCCATGGAGATTGAGGTGCTCATTCAGGAAGTACGAGGCTAACACTGCACTAGAGGGGGGAAAACGCAAAGTTCAAGGCACATCAGAAACTGGCTTTTTTGGGGGGAGGGGATGCTCAGAAATATATACAAAGTAGGACATCATAGTTTGCTTACCTGACTAAAACACTCAAAGCCCCCAAAGGAGTGACTAGTGTTGCTGGGGCAAAAACATAGGCTGCAAAGTTGGCAGCTTCTCCAATTCCCACTGCAAGAAAGAAGCCACCAGAAATGGAAAAGCGTTAAAACAGGGCAAATTCTGACCTCTCCTCCTTTGGTGGGTACAAACTTGGTGGCCAGCAAGACTGGAAGGTTCAGCTGGGAACATTTATCCTCCCCCCCCTTTTTTTTTTCCAGGCTGTCAGTTTGCCATTTTCCTGTATGGAGAATGAGTGCAGGGAACTCACCCCAGAGAGAGAGAGAACACAGCCGCGATACAAGGACATCTGCAAGCGGGATCTGAAGGCCTTAGGAATGGACCTCAACAGATGGGAAACCCTGACCTCTGAGCATTAAGCCTGGAGGCAGGCGGTGCATCATGGCCTCTCCCAATTTGAAGAGACCCTTGTCCAGCAGGCCGAGGCAAAGAGGCAGACCCGAAACCAGCCAAACCAGGGAGATGGACAGGTGACAGATTGTATTTGTCTTCAGTGTGGACGGGAGTGTCACTCTCGAATTGGCCTTCTCAGCCACACTGTTCCAAGTCTTCTATTCAGTGCATGTTACACTACCTCTCGAGACTGAAGGAGACCTCATCTAACCAGTTTGCCACCGCCAGTGACTCAGCTGGGCAGGGCAGTCACCTTCCTCCTGCAAGCCTCTTTGCTTGGTTGTTGCATGAGAAGGGAAATTCCCCTTCATCAAGAAACTGGAACTACTGAAGGCTAAGATAGGGTTTTAAAAGGGGCAGCCTTGTTAGTTCATGGTAACATATCATGCCAAAAACAAAAGAAAAATAAAGAGTAAAAGTTAAAAAAATTGTGGTGCCTTAAAGACTAACGGCTAGATTTGAATGTGAGCTTTCATTGACAGGTCACTGAAGGCCTGGGAACTTTCAGGGATGAAAAATGCATACAATTGGCTAGGTGTAGGAAGAGCTGTCAAAGCTTACATGGAAGTATACTTACTAGACAACAGGCCTCCCCACCAGAGCCATTCCCTCAGGTAGGCATGGCCACCGAGCCCTGGGAAGAAAACAGCAAGAAAAGCCAAAGGTAAGGTTCAGCTGACCCCAAAACCTAGCCTCACCAAATATATCCAACGCCCAGACATCGAGGTTTCTTAAATGGTCCAGGATTTTCTGCCAGTACCTGCTCTGACACCACCTCTGCTATTCAACCTGAGAAGCCCCTTCTTTTTCAGGATAAAACTTCCTCCGATGAACAAGCTGGAGCTGAGCGCCAAACCCAATCCAATATAGAAGTCTGAACGTCCCGTTGGGTCCTCCATCACTTTCGCCTAGAATTTGGAGAGAGGATTGCACAGACATTTAGAGACCTGTTCCCAAAGAGCTGCCTAGCAATTATGATGCAACCTTGGCAGGCTGATTTTAAACATGGCTTGGTATAAAACAATCGTGGAAAATGATACACCTGTCCATGCCTTCCTAGACTAGTTTGGAAGTAGGTCTTAGCAACTGTAATAAGGAGGTCCATGCCATTTCCTAGAGACATATGAAGCATCCCACACACACACTTAGGGCCCATTTTGTTACCCAGCTCTGCCCCACCAACTATTTCTGACAGGAGAAGGGAAGGAAGAATATTTGGTCCATCACCTTCACAGGCTCCAAGGGGACTATCTCCTCCAAAAGCCTTTTAATAAAGTTCTTTCAGCGCTGTACCATCGACCTTCTCAGCCCTCGGAGAAGTGACTGAGCCCCCCAATGCCTTCGAAATTAATACGAATGATAATGTCTCTTCCTATGCAAATAGCTAAACCCCATCGCGGCACTTTTAGTCTAACGAAGCCTACAAATGATAATGTCTCTTCCTATGCAAATAAGCTAAACACCATCGCGGCACTTTTAGTCTAACGAAGCCTTGGTTGTTTGACGGCAAAAGGGGCATCGGGCGATGGGTCCTGAAATGCAAATCACTTTTAAAAGCTCCGTTTCAAACTGGGTGGAGGGGATCCGGCTTGGGGGGGGGAACCCTCTTTCTCCCTGTGCTTTTACTGCTTCGGCGGCGGCGGCCCTTCGCCCCAGATGCCCGGAGGTGTTCGCCCACCCGCCGGCCCTCCAACCCCATTTGGGGGGCGCGGGTAGGGAACCGAGGGGGGGGGCTCTCTTAATGCCAATGGCCAAAAGGGGAGGGAGGGAGAGAGAGAGCTTTCCCCCTTCAGGGTCCCTTTCCGAAGGGCGTGCGTGGGAAGAGCCGCCGCCCCTCCAACCAAGAGGAGGGAAGGGAGGGAGGGAAGGAGGGTAGGCCCGCCGCCGCCGCCGCCCCCTCAGGCGCCCGGGAGACGGGGAGGGC